ACATAGTTCTTTTAATTTCTCTCTTCCTTTCTTTAAATTAATAAATGGTTTACTATGTATTTTACAGAGACTTCAGGAAAAGAAGGTTTTTTTTTTTTTTTGAGAGGTTTTTGCGATAGGGTGTGTGCGCTCGCCAGAAAGAGAGAGACAGAAAGCAATCTTTCCATGAGTCCACAGGAAATACAGACTGTTCCTCTACTCTTTTCATTTTCTACCTCTGTCATGCAGGGCAGTTTATTGGAATCCCATCAGTGGATCTCAGATTGCTGGAGCAGGTGCATGTATCTATGGCACTTGGCTTGTCATGGCTCTTTGGTATTTGACCATGTTTTATGAGACAGGTGTGTGTGTGTGTGTGTATTTGTATGTGCTTACTCATATTTTCTGCAACCATGTTTTATGGGACCTCTACATTAAGGTTGTAAAATTCCTTTTAATGTCATGTTAGAAGCAGAATCCCAGAGAGAGCAAAGGGATTTTCCCGAAAACCCCAAGACTTCTTAGGATAGGTCATTTTTTTTTTTTTTCTGTTTTTGAGTCGAAGCAATGATGGTTCCATGGCTATAACTGAGTTTGCTACTGGAGAGGAAGGAACAGTATGAGGGGGCTGGGAGCATGTGGCTATTTGGATATTCTTGACTTGCAGTTTAGCTATCAATGAACTACATTCAAAACATAGTTCTTTTCATTTCTCTCTTCCTTTCTTTAAATTAATAAATGGTTTACTATGTATTTGACAGAGACTTCAGGAAAAGAAGGTTTTTTTTTTTTTTTGAGAGGTTTTTTCACTATAGGGCCCGTGCGCTCGCCAGAAAGACAGAGAGAGACAGACAGAAAGCAAGAAATCACCCCCCAGGGGGGATGGCCATCCAGGGAATGGCCACACTGCAATCCCTTCTCCTCCATTTTCCTTTTGGGATCTTGGGCATGCATGCGCACACACCCACTGTGAGTTTAAGCCACCAGGTCTGAAACTCGAACTGCAGTTGACTACATGGGAGTCCAGTGACATAGCCATTATGCCACCTGCTGGTCCCAAGAATTAGTTTTTAAAATTATTATGGAGTTGAATTGTTTTCAGCACCTATCCCAGAAAGAATCTTTGGGCAGACAAAATCCATAAAAGCAATGTTACAGTTACTACTCAAAGGAATGGTGCTCAGTGTGTTGAAAAAGGGTATTCATTGTCACCATTTGCCTTCATAGTGGCAAACTATTTTTCTCTAGGCTCCAAAAGTTTACTTTTTACTCCTAAGTTGATGGTTGTTTGGCCCATAGGAATAGGTGCAGAGAACCTGGCTTAAGTCCAGTCTCCCGTCTTTTTTTTTGGAGAGGTTTATGCTATAGGGTATGTGTTCTCCAGAAAGACAAAGAGACAGAGAGACAGAAAGCGAGAAATCACTCCCCAGGCGGGATGGCCATGCTGCAATCCCTTCTCCTCCATTCTCCTCTTGGAATCTTGGGCACACACACGTGCCCGGTGTGAGTTTAAGCCACAGGGTCCAGGACTAGAACCACAGTCAACTACATGGGAGTTCAGCAACATAGCCATTACGCTAACTGCTGGTCTCCTGTCTCCTGTCTTTAATGGCACCGTCAGTCATAAAACCCAGAATAACTTTAGAGTAAGTAACAGCCTGGGCTTGAAATCTGACTGTCTCCTTTTGAGCTATGTCAACCTGGTCAGGTAACTTCATTCTCTCTGTTTTCCTTTATTGTAAAGTGGGGATTGTGGTACTTTACAGGGATGTTGCAAACCTTGTATGAAATAACACACATAACACAGTATGTGGCATTTAATAAGCACTCAGCAATGGCAATTGTTGTAGAAGAAAGTCATTTAGGCACTCACTTAGTGAGGGCTATTATTATAGAAAAATGTCATTTGTGTGCCAGATGACCTGAATGATTGGTTCATGTCACTCGAACATCTGTATTATCTGAGTTATCACCTTGTTCCAGGTATCTATATGTGGGATGCGGTGGTGTGGTACTCTATTGACTGGACAAATTATGTCATGTCTCTGTGCCTTATTTCTTAACTTTACATCAAATGATGTATTAATATTTAGATCAGCTGATATCCCTGCTGCACAAAACCTTCAGTAAATTGTAATACTGCAGTATAATTGATGTTTCTAGACTTAAAGGAACAAGTCCTCCACTTTGGGTTTTTCTAGGGTGATCTATAAGTTTGAGATAAAAATATTTTTCTTGCCAAACACTACCATGTGCATCCCCTCTAAATTTTGCTTGAATCTGTATAGTGAATCTTTTCATTTCTTCTGGGGGCAAAAATGTATAATTGATAAATACCAGGCCATTTGATTTCTTTTCATTAGATCACATTCAATTATTTCTATACTACTCTAGTCTCTTTACTTGCCCAATTTTAAGACAATTAAAATTCTTCATTGTATTTTCATTGCTTTTGGATTAAGGATTAAAAACTGTTCATAAAATCCTTATTAAACCTCATTCTCCCACCTGAGCCTAACCTTTTCTTCTCTTTATTGCTCATGTCCCAAGAACATTTAGCTTCTTTTAGGTCATTGACTGTGCCGTAATTTCTTGTCTTAGAGTCTTTGCACAGGCTCTTACTTGTGCCTGGGCTACTATTTCTTCCCTACCCCTCTTTTTACTTAGTTGATGCCCATTATCTGTCATATCTCAGCTTGAAATAAGCTTCTTTAGAGAAGTCTTCCCAGCCACACCTCAGTCATCTTGCAGACCATATTGAAACTTTTTATACCTGGGTATACTTGAAATCTTCTTTATTGCTCTGAAGTGTTTACTGAACAGCTGTTGATTTTCATCTGTTTATTCTACTTGAAATTGAACTTTCAGATTTCCTAATTTATATTTTTTTATAGATTGTGGACAATTCTTACATTTCCATTACTACATCCTCTCTTGTCTCTATCTGAAATCCATAACAGATTGAAGTTTTTTCTTTCTTTCGTGTCTCTTAACCTCTTTGTTAATATTTTCTCTTTTTATGGCTCTGTGCGATAAGCTGGGGAATTTTCTTTAACTTTTTCCTTCACTACAGTAATTCTCCATTTGACTTTGTCTAATTTGCTGTTTGACCCTTCCATGGAATTTTTTTTTCCTTCAAGAGGTTTTTGCTATAGGGTAGATGCACTCACCAGAAAGACAGAGAAACAGAGAGACAGAAAGTGAGAAATCACCGCCCCCCTAGGGGGACTGGCCATACTGCAATCCCTTCTCTTCCATTCTCCTCTCAGGATCTTGGGCACACACACACGTGTCCAGTGTGAGTTTAAGCCACCGGGTCCAGGACTCGAACTGCAGTTGACTACATGGAAGTCCAGTGACATAGCCATTATGCCAACTGATGGTCCTGTCCATGGAAATTTTATAACAATAATTTTTTACTTCTGTATGTTATAATCTGTATTTTTCAAATATGTATAATATAGAACCTATATTATGGCACTCTAATATAGTACTCTAATATAGTATTTTTTATTTTAAAATGTTTTTAATTACTTTTATGTCTTTAGTAGTATTGCGAGTGCTTGCTTATGTAGATTGTTACATAATTTATAACTTTGTCCTTCTTAGTATAGTCTCAGGATAATTAGCTTATGCTTTTTACTCTAGTTTTATTTTATTTTTTCCTTTTTGGCCCTAGGGATTTCCTAACTTGTATTTAAAAGACTATAAATTATCCTGTAAATCTATTATAGGTTCTTTATAGCAAGAATCTTATCCTTCCATTTCTCCCTCTCCTCTAGGTCCTCATTAATAGAATATTCTAGTATCTGTCATAACTGTAATCAAACAACAATCATCTCTGTTATTAATAACCTATTTGTTAATGACAATAAAATAAAATTTAGTATGTTATCTTGTGTCCCGTGCAAGATGGTAGTTCTGTGGAGAGAAGGACTATGCCCGTCTTGTCTAAAACTGTGGTCCCAGCTATGAATCCAGTGCCTTGAAAATGTTAGCACTCAATATTATTGCAATGAATGAAGGAAAGGCAGAGGCACCCTTGATATTGTGTTAGAAACCCTTTCCACCCTTTGGCCAACTTTATTAACCCCCTTCACCCTTTCTAAAACACTATGCTTTCCTAAAATGATTTGATTCTGCTATAATTGACATAGTCTCATAGGTGACTTCACATTGTCCCATTTTTGATGACCTTCTACATATGTAATTCCATACGAACTCAGAATTAATTCATAATTTGGAAGGACTGGGATAATTATTCTCCCTTTACAGATAAGGAAACTGAAAGCCAGGGAGATGATATGCCTTACTTTCTGTTAGATAGTTAGTAGTAAGTCTGAAAATTAAATCTAATTCTTCTGGCTCTACAGTTCTGCAGGACTCTTCCTTAGATGCTTAGAACAACTGTCAGAATTTCTTTGTGTGGAAGTAAAGTCCATTTTGCTTCTTTACTGAACTACGTATACTTTGCTAAAGAAATCAGTGTTTAGATAAGAATAGGAGCTGCCATTCGTTTGGTGCTATTCGTTTGGAGCTATTCCGATTTCCATAGCCAGAGTCTCAGGATTCAAGCTACATGATTTTTCATTTGGACAACGTGTCTATGTTTCTTTTGAGACAAACATTACAAACCACCTTTTGTCAAGTAATCCAGTTTGTTGGAGAACCCTGTCCATGGTCTGGTTGGATGCAAGGGTGTCTGGTAAAGGATGGAGTGTTACAGACTGCATGACAAAAGCACAAGGTTCACTGATGTTCAACACACTTGGAGGGGTAAGGTGAAGTGTGTGGAAGAACACATGGGCAGTGACAGTCACAGCAAGCGGAGGCTCCCAGGTCAATTTCCAACCTCAGGGCTGAAGATCTTGGGTGGCTGGAATCTTCCAGGCCCATGGGTGTTGCAGAAGAGCCCACGTGACAGCTTGCATTATGGCATCGGAGTCGTGTGGCAGACACAGCAGCTTCACTCCTGAGATGGAGGGGGGAGAGGGAGTACCAAGGAAACAAATCTTGGCTACTTACCTCAGGGCGGACCCCTTTGGTGTCGCAATGCCATAGCCTTTGGAATCCAAGTTACCTCCCACCTTCATGGTGTCACAGGGTTTCCGCTGCTCGATGTACTCATTCATGGTAGACTCCAGGAGGTATGCATATTTGCCCTTGGATTTCCTCACTCGGATCATCCCTTCCTCTGTGGTTCGCACAAAAACGGATGGTTCTGCTGACTTCATGTATGTCCACATCTTCTCGAACACAGCAATTTTAGACCTCTGCCAAGAGACAGGAACAAAGCCAGAATTAAGTGCTGGCTGTGCTTGGAATTGGGGTCGGCACACACACTAATGAAGAGCTGAGTATAGCTTGATCACACATTTATAAATGAGATTAGCTCAGGAAGAAACAAATTATGAGTGATTGCAAAATAAGAGGCTCTAATTAGTACCAGTAGGCTCTAAAGTACAAATATCTTGCAAATTCAGAATGAACAGAATAGCTCAGAATCTTTTAATTACTTCTAAGTAATTATGTTCCTCCTAAATATGGGAAGAGTTAAGAAACCAGAGCCTGTCTGCCTTTTAAAGACACTAAAGAACCTATCTGTTGTTCAGTAAGGCCATGTCTATAATGTCCAGAAGAAGTGGAGGGCTTATTATTAGTGGAATAGATTTTATCATTGGAAGATAATGCTGGAAAATTTCTGATCATGGGCTGTGAAGTTCTAGTCATCCCCTATTGCAAGATCTGTCCTCAGAATGTAAGTGGATGTTTTATAAAGCTAATAACTTGGGATTAAACATTGTCACCTGTTTATATTTCAAAAGCCTCCCAATCTAGTAAGACTGATTTCCTCCTAAACTCATCTTAGGCCTCTTCCCTTGGGGACTTTGCCTGGACTGTTTATTCCTTTTGCTCTGCTGGTTCTGTTCAGTACAACAGAACCATTTCATAGACCCAGAATGAGTCCTATGTATTGGCGGCTCTAAAAGCAGTAATTATTAAATTCTAGTGGCATCAACATCTTGTACATGAGATTGCAAAAATGCAGATTCTTCAGCTCTACATCTAGAGATTGTGATTTGGCAAGTTTGGGATGGGCCTAGAATAAGTCTTTTTTGAAATGCCCCTTGTGATTCTGATGTTTATGGCCTATGTGGCCCTCACTTGGAGAAATTGCATAGTGAGGGATGATATTTTTATTGGACTCATTGTCTGGGTCTTTCATTGAATGGCCAGGCTAGACTGCTGGAATTAAAAATCCTCTCCTCTTGTGCCTAGGTCTCAGTATGTAGAAGCTACCTGATGGTGGGGGATATCTTTCTTTTGGTGGGCTCTTTGCAGCCTAACTGAATACTTTGCGCATAGTAGGCCCTTAGTTAGGGTCCATGATCCAGAACCACAGATCAACCATCTTACCTAGCATGCTCTTTCTAAAGGGTGGCCTTTTCTTAAGTGGTAGATGTATTTTAGGGATACTTGAGTCTGGCTATTGAAATTTTCTTTCATAAATGGTCAAGTGTTAAATACATAAAAGGGGCCATTTTTGAAAATGACAGCTACTACTAGAGTATATAATCTATATAATCTAGTGTATTCTATATAATCTATGTATTCATGTTGGGTAAATTTACTTTACAAGCTAAGTGATGTATATTGATCAAATGTATAAAATTAAATATGAATTACAGATTTAGCCAATATGAAATTTTTATTAAATGTGTAATATATTTTCTCTATGCGCAGGTATTAGGTTTAATTCCTTGATGTTAATCAGTAACAGCTGTTAGTAAGATATTTACATACAATTATCATTTGAACATTCTGATCTATAAAGATACTTAAGGTCCAGGAAAATTCTAGGTTTTGAAGAAATATTAGTGGAAATTGTTACTGAGAATTGTAGGAATGCATTTGGTAGAATGAATCTTGAGTCAATAGTTCATAATTAGATGAACTAGATAATTGGTCTCACACTACTGTTTACAATTTGGAAAGAACAGAGAACTGGGAGTGGGACCTTTGGGTTCTAGGCTTGGTTTTACTTCTAACTCAAGATTTAGTCTATGAAAAAATCCCTTCCCTTTGTGTTTTTTTTTTTTTTTTGTCTTTTTAAAATTTATTATCCATTCATTAAATTGCTATACATTGTAAAGAGACTTTACCCAGCATGATTTACACCTGAGTCCAGCCCAGGGTGGGCAAAGACTTCTTAAGCAAGACCCCCAAAGCACAGGCAATAATCCCCAAAATAGACAGGTGGGATTACATCAGATTAAGGAGTTTCCCCTTGGGTCTTGGTTTCCCTAGTTGATACATAAGGAGTTTGGGCATGGTAATCTTTAAGTCTCTTGCTAGCTTGAAATATCTGATTCTTTACATGAAGACACATCATTCAAACAACAACATCAGTGTGAGAAAGAAGAAAGAAGGAGGCCAGGGAGGACTCAAAGGCTAGGAAGTACCCAGGACCAATTTTAGCATCTCCAATGTATTTAATGTTCTGTCACAGAAACAGAGAAATATATAAATTCAGTTGTGAACACATTTACAGATGATCTTTCAGGCACAAAACCAACAAAACATACAGCAGAGCAATTTCAAGATGCAATTTGACCTGACAGGATGGACACAGCAGGGAACTGGGCTGCTGACAGGCAGAGCTGAAGAGCCCTCTGGGCAACAGTATGCAGAAAAATTAATATGTCCTCTCAGTCTCACCTCAGTGCCCCAGACATTAAGGCTGTGCTCACAGATGTGTGGAGTAGACTGTCAGGAAAACCTGATCTCCAGGAATGGGAAGATAGCATGGGTGGCAGGGAAGACTGCATGCATACTTTGGGTATTTGTTCTTAGATCTCGTCTATCATTTGCAGCTCCCATGACCCCTCACACAACTTAATTAAACTGTCGATGGAGGATTAAGTGACTCTAAATTGGGGCTGCCAAGAAGCTCTGAGCTGCCATGGAGACTGGAAGCCAGATTTTTCAGAGACTGGTAGGAGAATTCTTGTCTCTGTATTTGCCCCTTTTGCCTTGGGCAGGTGGTAGTAGATCTTGTCTTCCCACCCACCCAGCAAGAAGTCCTGGTGGGATCATTCTCAAGGTCAAAGTAAGAGACGGAAGGGCTCCTGGGACATAATCTAGCACTGGTCTCTCTCTCTCATTTTAGAAAGCTTTTTACTATAGGGCATGCGTGCCTGCTGGAGAGACAGAGAGATAGAGAGACAGAAAGTGAGAAATCACTCCCCAGGAGGGATGGCCATGCAGCAATCCCTTCTCCTCCATTCTCCTCTCAGGATTTTGGGCATATATGCACACATGCCTTGTGTGTGTTTTAAGCCACTAGGTCTGGGACTCGAACCACAGTCAACTACATGGGAGTCCAGCAATGTAACTATTATACCATCTACTGGTCTTTCTTTCTTCCTTTTTTAAGAGAGATTTTGTTATACCTTGGGTGTGTTCACCAGAGGGACAGAAACTGATATATCACCTCCCGGGAGGATGGCCATGCCAAAATCCCTTCTCCATTCTCATCTTGGGATTTGGGGCATGCATACACATGTGGCTGGTGTGAGTTTTAAGCCACCAGGTCTGGGACTCGAACCACAGTCAACTACATGGGAGTCCAACAACATAACCATTACACCATCTGCTAGTCCCAGCGCTGGTCTCCTTTTACAGAAAGAGAAACTGATGCCTACAACGTGGCAATGAACTGTCCAAGGTCATGCAGCTTGTTAGTGGCAGAGCCAGGAGCAAAATTCCAATCCCTTGATTTCACATCTCCGTGTCTTTCCAGTGCAACCAACCACATCTCTTGTTCTGGTCTTTATATCTTACTTGTTGCAAGACCTTGGGGGAGTAACATAACCTTTCTGAGCTGCAGTGCTCTTCTTCTGACAATGGTGGTAACAGTATCCATTGCACAGTGTTGCCATGGGGATTTCAAGAGATCATAGCTCAAATGGGTAAACCAGTGCTCAGTACAAGGAAGTGTGGTGCTATTTCTACTAATAATTATACCCCCCTTCTAGGTTTTACTTTAGGATATGTGTGTCCAATACATGGCTTACTTGGTTTTCCTTTTTATATACTACTGATCAATCAAAGTTAGCACATGGTCTACAACGTATTTGTCACTAATGTAGTAGGCCTGGTTAGGGCTTGGAACATGCACTGCTTTGGTTCCAGAGTCCTAACTTTGTGCTGTGGACAGAGGCAGTAATATGTCAAATTGACATACTCATTAACAAAGAATTTCAAAGTGTTGAGCCCCAGCAGTGTCTCTCATTAGCTAGGGCATGACCATTTTCTTCTCTGGGCCTTAGCTTCTCCAGCTATAAAGTGGTGGGGTTAAACTAGATTTGTCCATGGGCCCCTCTGGCAACCTGAGTGATCTTTTAAAAGATCATGGCAACAGCAGATGGTGTAGTGATTACATTGCTGGACTTCCACATGGCCGACCCTGGTTTGAGTTCCCGATCTGGAGATTTGAAAATCAAACTGGGCATGTGTGCATACATGGCCAAGATCCCAGGAGGATAATGGTAGAAAAGGGATTGTGATGTGGCCATCCCTGCTGGGGTGTGATTTCTCATATTCCTTCCCACTGTGTCTGTCTCTCTCTCCCCAGTGAGCACCAAGTGCCTAAGGCAAAAACCTCTGGAGGGGGGGGATTTGTTAACAAGATCGCCACATTAAAAAGATAGCAAGTGAACAATAGAGAGGCAGGATGTTAGTGAGAAACAGATATGGCTTATTAAGTGTTGATGATGACACGTATAGTATTCTCAACTGGATTGGTCTAAGTATTTCATGATGGGCAAAGTATTTTTAAAAGCAAAATGAGAAATAGCGATGGACTGTTTTAAATAATAATAATAATAATAATAATAATTATGATTGGGGAAAACATAGAAAAGATATCGAATGCTGAAGTGGGGAGATTAATGTCTTTGTACTGACTGACATGCATGGCATTCCCTTTTGAAAAAGCAATGTAATACACTGTAAAGTTATATGTAATCCAATGTAATATAAAGAAGATTATGATGATAATAAAAAATTAAAAAAAAAAGATAGTAAGGCTCAGGGG